GCTCCCCATCCCCGAAAACTCCTCCCCCGTCGCTGGAAAATGGCGCCCACCCTTCCCCCACCCCGATAATCCCTCCCTTTCACCAAAATCCGGCGAAAAACCTTCCCCCCACCCTCGCGAAACCCTCCCACCCCCTCCCAAAACCCCCACCCTCGAAATCGCCCCTCCTCCCTTCCCCTACCCCTGAAATCGACCCACGGTTAGGGAAGGGGAATGGGGCGTTTTCGAAGGTGGGGGTTAGGGGAGGGGTGTTTTCTGGGTTAGTGGGTGGGTTTCGCGAGGGTGGGAGGAGCAAAAGGGGTAGGTTTCGAGGGTGGGAGAAGGTTGGTCGTCGGATTCCGGCGACGGGGAGGGTTGTCGGGAGTGGGGGGCGATAATCCGGCAGGGGAGGGGTGCGAGTAGGTTGTTTTCCGGGATGGGTGGGGGCTGCTGCGTTTATTTTTTTTTTTGGTTTTTTTAGTTTTATTTTTTTGAATTAAATTTTTTTTTTTGAATTATTTTTTTACCAATCCCGTGTTGACACGTGGATTGTAACCTAAAGTAACAGGTTTGGTGACCTGTTGGGATCTTTAAAAGAAAATGGGTATTAAAGTTAGGATTTTTGAGAGATAATGCATAGTTAGGATTTTTTTTATAGTAAATCACCCAAAGTTGGGATTTATAAACTCAATTTTCCTATTTTATGTTTAATTAATTTAAACTAGGAAATCTCATTCGACAATTTTGCTTACGTGTCATTTAAATTATTTAATTCTAAAAGAAATTAATAATCTCGCATTTAATTGGCTACCACTAAAATTTATTATCCTACATGGCGCGGTGAAATAATTAAATCCTACGTGACTCTCTAAAAACTCTAGAAAAAAATCCCCTTTATATATGATATTTATTAAAAGTTATGATTGATTTTGTATATATGAAATATTTGAAGTATATTGATAATCAAAATCTATACGTCATATTTATCTTTAAAAAAAAAAAAAACTACCCAAAAATAAATTACTTAATATCATATGTGTCACAATAACATCTAATTTTCGCCTACGTGACACGACGCTTGGCAAAAAACTGGAAAGCCAAGTGTCGTTGTCTTGCTGCGAGACCGGCTTTATATATTAGTAATATGATTTTTCTTAAATAATACCGTCATTAACAAAATTTAGGTTGTACACTAGTTGTGGAAGGGGAGAGGCTTGGTGGTTCTGGGTCGTTTGCACTGGCTAGGGTAAGAGGAAGTGTGGATTCCATCGGCCGCTAAATAGGGTTGGCTGGTTCAGGGTTTGCGTCACCTATGGTAGAGGGTGGGTTTAATTGGCCGCTAGATGGCTTGGGAGTTTCGCCAAACAAGGCTAGGGGTTAGGGGCTTCTGAGCATGGGGTTGGGTGGGCCAATAGAGGGTTCACAATATAATCGAGGGGTGGGCTAGGTGGGGTTCGCAGACTGGGATGGGGTTTTGTAGGTAAGGGTAGGGGCAGTTTGTCGAGAAGGATGGAGGTGGCTGGTTGAGTTGGGGGAGTAGTTTGACAATTAGGCTTGTTTTTTTTTCTCGTTTTTTAAATAGTAATAATAACAATAATGATAACATTAATTCTTTTTGAGGAAGTAATAACTATTAATACTTCTAATAATAAAAATAGCTTCTTATAATAATAATAATAATAATAATAATAATAATAATAATTTAATATTATAATAATAATAATAATAATAATAATAATAATATCAATTTCATTTGTAGATGTCATATGACTTTTGATTAATTGATTTTATTAAAAAAAATATAACAACAACAACAACAACAACAACAACGCTAGAGGGGTGGGGCCCCAGATTGTATCTCGGCTCGCCACCAATTTCTTGTAAATTGATTGACTTTGTAGGTTTTTTGAAATTTTATAATTATAATTATAATAATATTTTTAGATTTATTTATTTATTTTAAATAGTTAAATTATTAATTATTTTTGAGGAAAAGTAAGTTGATAATTAAAGTTAAATTATTATTTAATTATATCGTGTTAGTTAGGTTTTAATTAGGATTTAAATTTGAAAACTATAGTTAAATTATTATTTAATTTGAATTAGTTAAAGTTGAACTTAATATTGGAAGACCCTCAAAAGTTCAACTTATTGTTGTTAATTTTTCCTAATAATTATATTATCCTTATAAAACATATCTCGTTGTCTATATGCATTAAAAACGTATTAGCTAGTTGCCCTAAATTTACTAAAAGCTACTCTAATATTGTTTGATATACATTAACATTATTGTAAATTAGATGTACACAAAAAGATTTGTAAATATGATTATTCTTTGGTTTCGTTGGTTAGTAATTATGGCTTGACAAGCACTTCATCTTATCTTTACAAAATCAATATTAAAAAATGTCTAAAGTCAAACATGGCCCACTTTGGTCATCTTTATAATTTTTATTTTATTCTATCCGATAAGGAGAAAGTTCTATTAGCCTGGGTCAGAACTCCTCACAGGTCAACCCGTCACATGTTAGCAAACTAGGTCTTTTAGGAGTGGAGGGGGAAGGGTTTGGGAAATTCCACTCTAATGAGCCTCTAGTGGGGTTTGATGTCACAACTATAGTACAAAATTTTCCATTAAACCAAGTCTTACTTTGTATATACCCTTATAATTTTTTATTATTATTTTTGGTCTCTTTTCGCTTTAATTATTTATTTATTTTAATCTCATCTTATCACCTAGATGTACTCATGACTATGTTCTATACTTCATATAAACCAAATACTTGGGTTAAGTTAGATAACTGACTAACACTCTTTGTCTTAGCTTACAAAAATTATTCAGTAAAAAAATATGAAATTTAGTAAAAATAAGTTAAGTTCACGAAAATCAAATTGTAATTCAGTCTTCAAATTTAAGAGCTTCTTCATTAGTATCCGGCCAGTATGATAGTCACATACAAATGCTGAAGAACATATTCGTTTATGTACTAAGTAGTAATGTGATAAAAGTTTTGTTCTTGTGTCCACTAATAAGCTGCCTGTGAACCTGGTATGTCCATGTCTTATATGTCTGATCTATAAATTGTTCCTAATAATAGAAATGAAAAATGTTCACCTTCCAAAAAAAATATTGTGTTATCTTAAAATATAAAATAAGATAAGAAATACTTTACAAAAGGGCAACATAATTTAAGGATTGGGCAATTAATCTTTTCGACCATTCAATAAACTAGGGGTCAAAAGGCTCTTCTAGTTTAGATTTGCCACCTTTTGCACAAGGCAAACATTTAGCATAATTTAATGTGGTTGATGCCTAAAGTAATAAAATGGGAGATTTTGTGTCAAAAATATAAAAGAGGTATCATATCAGATTTGCTTAATTGTAATTAAGATATTACTTTACTTACTATTAAAAAAGAATCAAATTTTAGTGCATACTTCTTGATCTCTTTCTTTTTAGTTTAGGATAATTAGTTTTTGATGATTTGAAGTAAATATGCTTCATCCTTGTTTATTACTTCACATAAAACATTTATATTCAGCAAAAATAAATTATATTCAATAAATATAGTTTAAGCGCAATAAAACAAATTAAGTGCATCATAAAAAGAAAAAAAAATAGTTAAGCATGGTTCAGTACTCTGTATAAAATAAGTTTAAATAACTAAAATTTATTAAGTTCAAATAACAATAAATAACCAAAACTTCTGCAAAATTGCTTTAAGTTTAATAAAAATAATTTAAGTTCAGCAACTATCAAGTGAAGAGAATATGACATTGGGATGAAAAAAAAAGCCATTTTTCAAACATTCAATTAGACAATTTCTTACCCATTTTATTTGTTACTCACCTTTTTTTATTCGTTACTCACCTTTTTACTATAAGCTTCAATAAATATACATGTTCCTTATCAATCTTATTATTGTACTCTTTAGTTATGTACGTATTACAAATTATTTCATTTAGGTACGTAAAATCATGATATGAGGTATATACTTGACATTTCACCTATGGTCAGATGAAAGTATGAAACAACAATATATAAAAAGCATATGAAATTTGTCAAAGCTGATCTAATACAAAATGATCAGTGTTCTGAAGGAAAGTTTCATATTTATATTTTGAAATTTTAGATTCAAAAGAAGTTTATTTGTTAAAGGTACATTGTACAACTTTCTTGTAGTGAATTAATTTTAGTTTAAGAAAAAAAAAGTTTGTTTGAAATAAAATCGTGAAAAGGAACCAAGATTTACCAATGAAAACCAAGAATTGCTTCAAAAAACATAATAAAATAAAAAAAATATATTTCAACGCAATAAAAATAAAAAATGAACAATAAAACATAAGTACCTTCTAGAAATTGTTCCTTAGCTAGCATATCCGATATAACATGGGTTTTCAACAGCATATTCTTTAAGTAAGAGTGCTTTTCTAAGGCCTATATATATGATAACTCTCTGAATACAATTATGTAGCAACTCGAGCATGCATGTATGTTAAGATTCAAAACTCGAAATCGAAATCGAAAGAGCAGGATCGGATCGAGTGAGAGTGATGCGGGGTTTAAGCATTGCAGGGCGAGCCTTCTTTGGCAAAAAAGATCGATGCATGTATGTATGTTTTAATGCATGCAATGTCAATGTTTCTGTTTTTGCCAAGGAAGACTTGCCCTGCCATTTCCCCTGCATATATTTTCTTATTTTTTAATTATTGTACGCACATATCAAATCATATTTCTCTACCAATTGGTTGTTGGTGCAGTGATAATTGATCGAGACTGCACATGGTAGGGAGGTTCCGTGTTTGATCCCTCACAACAACAATCGGGAAGAGACTATAACCTAACCATGCATAACTGATTTCTAAATTCGGATTAGCCCAAGGGTGAAGCGGGTGGAACACCAATAAATATATATATATATATATATATATATATATATATATATATATATATATATATATATATATATATATATATATATATATATATATATATATATATATGGTAAGCTAATCTTGTATGGCCTCTTTACACACTTGGATTTTAACTTGTTATGTTGAATAATTAAATGTACAGTACAATTTTGTTTTGTCAAGAGTTTCAAGTCATGCAAAGAGTATATGGATGTAATGGATCAACATTCGACGTGAAAGATTATCGTGTAATGCTGGTAATCTTTCATTCATCTTAATTAATTACAATTGTTAAGCTCATGAGTTCACTTTCATGTATCATGTTGCATGCTATGATTTTTTTTTTTTGTTATGTTTTGGTTTTGATAGGATGTTGCATGTTATGATCTGAGTGAACTCATAAATGCATGACTACGAATTAAGGAGAAATTATCAGAGTTAACAAGATTAATTTGTGGTTATAAGTGATAGTAAAGTGAATAGGTCGGGTATGTAGAGTTCATATGCATTAATTTGTGTATCGGTGTTCATTATTTCATGTTTGATTACACATTTAATTTAAAAAAAAAAAAAAACAGTTTACGTTCTCATTATATTCCAATAAAAAAGATTAAATTTATTTTCGTGTAAAAGGCGTAATAAGTTTTCAAGGAAGTTCTAAATTAGCAACTTATTAATTAGTTGATCCCATATTGGAGGAAGACATCCTTCAAATAAGTGTTTTGGTCAATTGAACAAAAATAAATATGTGCATTTTATACCTACCTAGTACCTTTATAAATCTACATATGTCAAACCGGAAATTACTCTGTCCAAACAATATAATCCAGCTTATATGCATGATCATGGTGTCTTATTTAATATTTTTATAGCTTAGATGATACCCTATATATTTTTAATATTAATTTTCTTATAATAATTTTTTTTTTTTTTGGAAGAATTATAATTATTACTAATACTTAAGGATATTGATTATTATTGTTCAAAAAACGGATATTGATTATTACAATAATGTCTTTGCAAATATCTCAATTAATTAAACTGTCACATTTATCCTAAATTAATAACAAATAAAGATAGAAAGAGAATGAAAAGAGAAATAAAAAAGAACAAATAAACTAGTACATTATAAGCCATGTGATATTCAGGTGATATCAACTTGTTATATTGATAATTCACGTGATATAAGGTTTTTCATGTCACTTTTGTGCCACATAAACTACTTCAAAAAGTCGGAACCAATGCAACTTCAACAAATTTTATTTATACGAGTACGTTCTTTCAAAAAATAAATATAAAAAATAAAAAATCATACGAGTACGTACTATTGTACTACGCATGTATTGAAATTTGCTCAAAAATGTTTATAATTACAAATTTATAATTATAGACATCAATTTTTTATTAAAAAATAAATGAACATTAAATTACGATAAAACAACAAGGAACATGAGAATTGACGTATGTTACGTGAAACTAGATCAAAGTTTGATGATCTTGAACCAAATTATCCCCATAACTTAAACATGGTCGAGCCATCTTTGATTATCATCATACTACCTCCGTTAATTATTATGTGCAACTTTGAAATATTTTATATCTCACAAATAATACTCCAAAGGGGTGCACATAATAATTAATGGAGGTAGTATATAGTTTATAATTTATACATACTTTCCCTGCATAACTCATTAACTCAAATAGTCATAGATGCACGTCATTTATTACTATGTAGTAGTCTTGACTCTTGATCATAAAGTCTATTTTAATACAACCTTGCCATAACAAAGTGTTTGGGTCCATTGTTTAATTTCATAATTAATATTACCTTGAAGAAGAAGGAAGAACTAAAGAATAAGGTTGATCAATGATCATCAATAGTGTGGCATGAATTGTGGCTAAGAACTTTCAAGGAAGATATATATGCTGATTTATAATTATTTTCGAATGAATTGAAACCAAGGACGACGAGTATTATACATGAGGATTGATGAGTTTTGGTGTAACCATGATGTACAAGGAAAAACAAGATCAATAGAAAGTAAGACGAGGATGGTTAGAAAGCATTTTAGACAAATATCATAATTATTCAATGGTATGTAAGACGTAGATCGAAAGTCCATGTCAATGAAGCTTGAAAGAAAAGTTAAAGAGGCAAAAACTAACCATGAATAACATGCATGCGTAACTACATTCTAGTCTTGATAATCATTATAATTAAACCATCATTATAATTAAGACTATAGTATGATGCTTTACGGTTTTTTTGGATAGCAAAGAAGGGGAGGGAGAATGGAGGAAGGGAAGGGAAGGGAAGGGAAAAGAAAGGGAGGGGGAGGTGAGCTCCATTTTCCCTCCAAATCTCTCCAATTTTGGAGAGATTATGGTTATTATTATAGAGAGAGGGAAAATAGATCCCTCCCTCTCCTTCCCCCAATCTTTTACCCAAACAAGAGATTTTGTCCCCCTCCATTTCTCTTCTCTTCTTTTCCTTCCATTTCTTCTTATCCAAACAAAGTGTTACCGTTCATATCTTGCAATTATGAACAATGCATATGATGTCCTAAATCTCTGCCAACCGATCAGATAGTCTCACTTTCACAAAAAACTTAAAAACTAGTAAAATTAAAATTACAAAACCTGAACCTAGGTGCACATTACTCCTCAGATTCAGGTGTAGTGTATTAATCCTTTTTTAACTAGTAAAATGAAAGTAGAATGCTTATAAATGAAAAGGACTATAGTAAGATGCTTTTAGTTGATATAGACTGCAATAAAATGCTGCTAGTTCTCTGCTCAAAAAGTTATAAAATCTGACTCTTTTATATGTTTATTATTGTATTAGGTTTATATTGTTCTGTTCCAAGAAACTGGTACTATCAAGTTTATACATTGCACTAATGATTTTCTGCATTTTATTATTTCACCAATGGTTTAAATGGAGTGATTTTCCTGAAGGGAAATATCAGTAGCTGGCTAGCTTTTATTTTCTTAATAAAGAATGCACATGAACATCATTTCTGGTGGTTACATCAGATGATCTTCTGGCTCACATTTCTGGTTCTGTTGCTCTGATTATTATTGTTTCCTAAATGGATTGATCTTGCTGAAATTAATAAGTGTATATATGTGATTTGATAGGAACTTGAGGCACAAGCTTGTGAAAATGAGAATGAGGTCATCGAAATCAATGGTTCTAGTTTAAATGTAACCACCTCATCCCAAGCTAATGATGATCCCATGTATTTAAAGTTATGGGAGAAGTCAAAGAGGTATATTGAATATTTGTCTAATGCACGAACACTTTGTTTTTCTTTATTTTCAAATTCTGACTTTGTTTTATCTTGTAAGGCATAAAAATGGGAAGTTTGACGATGAGGCCGAGGAGAAGTCATGGAGTGTGATACTTGATAGAGGTAATATTTTCAAGCTCACTCTTTGCATAAAATTGCCCTTTGGATGCATTTTCAAGTGATACCTTGTTAAGACTTGTGCTTTCCCGGAGTGTGTGGTATTTGTTTATCCTTGATTGCTGGATTTTAATTGCTATTTTGTGTTGGTTATGCTTATGTGAAGTGGTGATGGTTGTTAATATAGCTATATAGATGTTTGGTAATTTGAAATGGGTTTTTTTTTTGTTCTGTTTTGTGTATTGAACCATTTTAGGTGGTTATGTTCTGTGTATTGAACCATATATGGTAACTAAGCACCCAGTATCACAATTGGAGGTTAAGGAGCCTTGTGAATTCAGTAACTGCTTGATCTCCAGAAGGCATATATTTTTGAGGTTATAATTACCACTCCTAAGGAATGGTATATCGGTTTGTGCATCAAAACTTCAGTCTACCCCTTAATCCTACTTTTACAGCCGCCCTATCTTGTTGGATGTTAGTAAGAGTGGTATGCTGTAGTGATATTTATTTCTTTTATTTTCAAATTTTATAAAGGCAACTGTTATCAGGCATTTAGTTGCTTCTGCTGGTATTATTTTCAAATTGTAGGTTC